CGACGACGACGACGACGACGACGACGACGACGAGGAGCCCTCCTTTGTCTGCAGGCTCGAGTTCACCCTCTGAACGGTCTTCTCGGTCGTTCTTTTCTTTTCTCCCGGCTGCTGCTGCTGCTGTCGAAACGACGCGGGACGCTGTTTCGACAACTTGGACGAGACCGAGATCATCTTGCTCGGTCTCCTGCCCTGCCTCTGCCTCTGTTTATCGTCTACGCGATTATCAAAAGTCCCCTGCTGCTCCTTCTCCTCCATCTTGGTAATTGACGGTTTGTCCCCGTTGCCCCTGCCGTGGCGTGGCGACAGCCCGGCGACGTCTGTAATTGAATTTTTAATCTCCGACGAGATCTCCTCGATTCCGATCGTTCTCTCGCTCGCCGAGCTTCTCCACCCGCCGTTCTCCTCTATCGTGCTGGCGTTGGGCGACGTGACGTCCCGGGACGACACCGTCTGGCTCGTTTCGTCGTTAACGCGATTCGAGACTGTCGTCGACTGCTTGACGGTCGTTTCGTTGACGAAACCGCTTGGTACGGATTCGTCGCTGAGGGAAGCGACGGTGGCCGATGCGTGGCCGATGCGTGGATGTAACGCAACGTTGGATGACGCGGTTACGTTATTATTATCGAGTAGACGAGATACACGTTCGATCGGAGAGAGAATCGATAAGGTGGAAGCCACCCAGGTCACCCAGGTCACGGGTGTCACGGTGGTAGGAAGAGGACTCGGCGGCGATGGTAATTCGTCGAGAGGTGATCCTGACATTTGCCGCGGAGTATCGCACTGACCCACCGGCGGCGATCGAGCGGTTTTATTCAGTTGCCGGTGCTGCCGCAGCCATTCGCCCAGCCAGTAGAGATCCTCCGTGCAGTGCCAACGGTTGCCGCTCAGGTCGAGGACACGCAGCTGCGGCAGCATGTAAGGCAGATCGAACCTGAGCGCGGTGATGTCGGTGCGCGACAGGTTCAACTGGATCAGGCTCTTGCAGGCGGAGAGCGCGGCGTCGTCGGCTAATAGCTGCCTGGCTAGCACCGGGCTCCTCGACACGTCGAGGGACACCAGTCTTTCCGGGGTGGGCACCGGGAACGCCATGTCACCCTGCTCCTCCTGCTTTCGCTCGAGCCAAGTTAATCCCGACATACGGAGCCTGGCGAGGTTGCTCGGCCCGCTCAGCGTGTTGGCCGGCAACGTTCTAACAGGATTATCCGACAGATCGAGCTCCTCGAGTGCCGGTAATTGACCGAGTGCTCCCACCTCGATCTCGTTGATGTCGTTGTCGTTCAACGTCAAGCACCTGAGATTGTACAGCCCCTGGAGATCGTCGGCCCTGAACGCGGTGATGGCGTTCCGCCGGAGCTTCAGGCTCGTCAGACTGTTGGGCAGGCTGCCGGGGATCTTGCGGAGAACGTTGCCGGATATGTCCAGCTCCTCGAGGACCTCCAGGCGTCCGAGAGCATCGTCCTCGATGTCGTTCAGCCGGTTGTCCGAGATGTCGAGTATCCGCAGGAGCGGATAACTGTCGAGGTCGCCGCCGCGGATGGTGGTCAATTTATTGCCGGCCAGTCGGAGCGCTCGGACGGATCTGGTGAGCGCGGCTGGGACCCTGGCCAGACCGGTGCGTGACGCGTCCACCGTCTCCAAGCGTCTGCCGGTGCCCAACAACAGCGAGACGTCCCTCTCTTTCAGTGGGTTCTCCGACAGTTTCAGTATCGATAGTCCCGCGAGCGGTTGCAAAGTTCCGGACGCCGCCCGCGCTAACCCGTTCCTCGAAACGTCGAGCTCCCTCAGTCGGTCGAGGCTCTCGAACCACCTGGCGCCGAGCACTTGCAGCTGATTCCCACTTAGGTCCAACTTTTGCAACGAGTAGAGCGGCGTCAACGCGCTGTCCGGCAAATCCGCCAGCCTGTTGTCCGACAAGTCGAGAAACTCCAGCCGATCCAGACCTCGGAACGCGTCCTCGTGCACGCTGCATATCGCGTTTCTACGCAAACTCAACCTCACCAGTCCCGCAAGCGTCCTAAAAGCCCCGGCACTCACCGCTGTCAGCGAGTTGTCAGACAGGTCGAAACGCGTCAGCTCGCTCATATTCGTCATACCGGCGGCCAACACGTCGGTCAACCGTGCCAGATTGTTGCATGATAGGTTCAACGCGTTGACACGCTCGAAACCGCGCCACGACACGTTCAAGAACACCAGCGAACAGTTCGTCACGGACAGGTCCTCGAGGTAGGGAAGAGTCGTTGTCGTTGTCGTTGTCGTTGTCGTTGTCGTCGAGTTGCGTAAAGAATCGTCCGACGACGTACCGTTCGCAACGTCCAACTCCAAGTTCAATGTACCGTCATCTCGGATCACTTGGAGATCGTCGAGCGAATCGCTCGCCTCCAGTTCGTCGAAGAAACCGATCACCTGGTATTGATTGGCACCCTCGATCGCGAGGCTGCTCGTCTCGATCGGCAATTCCGTCAACGGTGGCGCACGAGCACGGCACTTGACACGCACCAGACCAACCGGCAGTTGCTCGTCGGCGGCGGCACTCTGATGACACTGGCACAGGTCCGGGCACGCGGAACCGCTCGCCATCAAGGCGAGCAGCATCAACGGAAGCCACATCGCCTCCGACGACAATACGGCGTCGTCTTCACATCTCGATCGACGAGTCGACGGGTTCGATCCTCGAGTTACTTACTCCCCGTCGCGGGAGCGACGATCGGCAGCGAGGGACGATCCGCGGGGCGACGAAGTTGCCAGCGACGAGCATAGGCACACGTCCGGCACACTCATCGACGGGGAATTTGACGCGCGACAACACGTCCCGCACCGGAGGTGATGATGGATGCCGCCAAAACTTACGCGTACACACGAATGCCAGGCGAGAGCGCGAGACTAGACACTATCAGCCGCGTCAGACGTGATGTCCATACGAAGGACTGACAAACACTGCGGCGCCCGACTCGTAGCTGCACCCGCCACCTCTCTCTCTCTCTTTCCACCCCATCCTCCACCCCGTCCTCGTCCATCCGATCTCCGCCTCTCTTTCGCTCCCTTCGGCCTCCAGGCCGGCTGTGTGCCGCCACCTACAACCTTCCACCCTTCTCTCGTTTCCTCTCTCTTCGGCTCGCGCACCTTTCCCTCCCTTTCTCATTCCTATGCACGCTCTTCGTACACCTCTACATCGATATACGTACGTACGTACGTGTGTATGTACATCCACTGCCATCCACCGGCCTCTCTCCTCTTCCCTCTCCCTCGCCCCCTCTGGCCCGCCGCCGCCGTCGCTTTTGCTCTCGAACTCGATAAGGGGCGCCAGCGCGCTTGCGTCCTCCGGCAGAGTACGTACTACCGACCACCAGCACAGCCGGTATCCTGCGATTTCACCAACTACCGCCGTTGACGACCGGCTGGCTGCTGCTTGCCTGACTGACTCACTGACTCTCGCCTCGACTTTCTTAAA